CCTACCCTGCTTGACTCTCCTGTGTGTCCTTGTTTGTGTAGAACTGATGCTGAGGCTGTTTGCTCTTTACTCCTACTTGGTTCTCTGCTTGGCTTGAAGAAACAGGTTTTTCAAAGGAGGTGGTTCTTAGTGTCTCAATCAACTCCGGGTGAAGGATGGACTGAGTCTCCACATGGGGGTCCCCTGGCCTGGAGGTGAGGCCGCGCGGCGCACCTGCCCGGGGTGGGTGGGGCTGTGGCAGCCAGGAGGGACGCGCGAGGGGCTCAGCCCAGCAGGCCAGGAAGAAGCCGAGGCCACCGTTCCCTGCCTCCTGCACAGAGTCATGGGCGGGTTCTCCGGCACGTTCTGTGTGGAGCGGGATGTGCTTCTTCCTGGGACAGAGTGGCCCGTGTTCCCTGAGAAGAGAGTGCAGCGTGGTTTCTGCCTGGGCCCAGGCCTTCGTGACAGCTGAGCTTGTACCAGAGGACCTGGCACCATGGCAAACAATTGCATAGACTTTTGCTGCCCGAACTTGATTGCCTCACACCTTACTTGTTTTCCTCTCTTTCCTGTCTTCATACTCACTTTCCCCACAAGCAACCATCTGAATAAATAACAAAACGAAGGAAACAGCAAACATAGGAAATTCTTTTGTTTGTTCCTTGCATATAAGCCTTTCCCAGTGGTGTGTTGGTGTGTTTATCTAGTCAAGATGCCCCTCTTCCTCCGTCGACAGTGCAGGATGTGGGGGCCATGTGGGAAAGCCAGCACGTGCGTTTGTCCTGCCTCCCCGGTGCCCTCGCCAGCTTGCCCTGAGGGTGGTGCTGCCCTTCGTCCTGCCCTTGACCTCCTTTGGGGCCTGGCCACACTGGTGAGGGGTCTGGTGTCCTCCCATGGCTGGATCAGGTCTAGGGAGAGGATGCTGGCTATTGGGACTTACGCATCATCTTTGAAGGTTGGTGTGTCCTGTTTGTGTGTCTAGCTAGGTACCTGTCTGCATCTCAAAACTGTTGCATGCTTGGGACTTCCCTGGTGGCTCAGTGGTTAAGAATCCGCCTGCCAATGCAGGTGACACGGGTTTGAACCCTGGTCCGGGAAGATCCCACACGCCGCAGAGCAGCTAAGCCTGTGCTCCACAACTACTAAGCCTGTGCTCCACAACTACTGAGCCTGTGCTCTAGAGCTACTGAGCCTGCGTGCCACAACTACTGAAGCCTGCACACCTAGAGCCCGTGCTCTGTAACAAGAGAAGCCACCGCAATGAGAAGCCCGTGCGCCACAGTGAAGAGTAGCCCCTTCTCGCCACAACTAGAGAAAGCCTGTGTGCAGCAACGAAGACCCAACACAGCCAAAAATAAACATAAATAAATTTATTTTAAAAAAATTACATGCTCATTATAAAACCCCAGCTGTGCAGACGGGGCTGGAGTGCAAGTTTGCCCCCGCACTCCCTCGTCTGGCTCTGCTCCTTGGACACACACACACACACACACACACACACCCACACACACACACACACACACACACACACCCCTATACAGGTGTGCATGGGGTGGTGACAGGGGAGCACGGTTTACGTTCTGTTCAGTGATTTGCTTCTGTCCCTGCAGTGCACTGTGGACATCCCCTCAGGTCAGTGTGCACAGACCTTCATTCTTTTCGTGGCTGTGCTGTATCTTATAGCATGGCTAGATCATGCCTTACTTTCAGGCTGAGTATTTTAAATTAGGGTTGTGGGTCCTTACCTGGTAGGTTACCACACACATTTGGGGCTTGCTTTAAATATTAATTGGTGAAGATACAGGATAGTGCAACTTGGAGTGTTATTTGCCTCCAATATCAAAGGACTGTATCTTTCTCAGTGAACTGTGAAAATGGTGATTATGAATTTTGAATTGTCTCTTCTCTTCAGGGGCAGATAAAAGTAGCCAAGAGGCGGGTCGTGATGGCGTCCCTCTACCTGGGGACAGGTCCTTTGGAACAGGAACTGGTAAGGTTTAAGCAGGGGTGGTCCTACTGGCAGTAGTGAGTCACCCTAAAACCTCGGGCTGTGCAGAGCCGTGGAGTTGGGGTAGAGCTGCCCTCCTTGGCCTGCGTCTCAGGCCAGCTTTTGTTCTTGTTGCCCCAGATTCTGGGGCACGTCAGGAGGATCAGCTAGGGGTGCAGGGAGATGTGATCCTGGGCCTCCTGACCTCGCTGGCCCGTGTCCTCCTCACCCTGGGCAGGGGCCGTAGGCCGTCTGTCTGCCAAGCCGGGGCTCCGAGAATTGTGACCCGCAGGCCAAATCTGGCCACCGCCTATTTATGTGTGGCCTATGGGCTAAGGATGGTGTTCACGTTTTCTTTTTTTTTAATTAATTAATTAATTTATTTTTGGCTGTGTTGAGTCTTTGTTGCTGCATGCAGGCTTTCTCTGGTTGCAGCGAGTGGGGGCTACTCTTCCTTGCGGTGCGTGGGCTTCTCATTGTGGTGGTTTCTCTCTTTTTTTAAAAATAAATTTATTTATTTATTTTATTTTTGGCTGCGTTGGGTCTTTGTTGCTGTGCTCAGGCTTTCTCTAGTTGTGGCGAGCAGGGGCTACTCTTTGTTGTGGTGCACAGGCTTCTCATTGCGGTGGCTTCTCTTGTTGCGGAGCACTGGCTCTAGGCACACGGGCTTCAGTAGTCGTGGCTTGCGCGTGGGCTTAGTTGCTCTGCCTGTGCGCCACAACTACTGAGCCTGTGCTCTAGAGCCCGCGAGCCATGACTACTGAAGCCCGTGCACCTAGATCTTCCCCCATGTGGGATCTTCCTGGACCAGGGCTCAAACCCGTGTCCTCTGCTTTACATTTTCAGTGTTTGGCAAAAGATCAAAAGAGGAGTAGTAATTGTGTCACATGAAAAGCATGTGAAATTCAGATTTCTGTGTCCATAAATAAAGCTTTATTGGAGCATAGTGACTCTCATTAATTTTTGTTTTGTCTATGGCTGCTTTCTTGCCACAGTGGCTGAACTGAGTAACTGTGACAGGGACCATCTGACCTGCAAAGCCCAAGATATTTACCGTCTGGTCCTTTATAGAGAAGGCTTTCTGGGTCTGTATTAGACAGAGGAGCCAGCATTGCAGGTCGAGCTGGCCATTGCTTTCGCCCAGGGCTGGTGTCAGGTGCGGGTCTGCGGCCAGCTGGCTCCACCTAGACTTGCTGTCATGCCGTGCTTGTCCCTTCCAACGAGACACGCGGGGCTGGGAAGGAGCAGATGTCACCTGTTGTGCAGCAGGTGCTTCCTGTAGGATGAGCCCAGTGCAGAATCTGTAGGTTGAGCTGAAGTGAGTGTGAATGAGGTCGTTGTGTTGTCGGAGTCCCTGGATGGCTTTCTCCTCTGAGGGAGTGAGATGGACCCTTGCCCATAGCAAGTGTTGTTTCTTGGTTTGCCTTGTTCAGAAACCCCCAGGGCATAGCTGGACGAGAACAGGGGCTGTGGTAGGGGGCAAGGGGGAAGGGTGGGGGGCAGGAGAGAGCCCACCCCTTCCCTTCCTGTCTGAGGAAAGGCTGCCCCGCTTTCAGGAAGTGCTCTTAGCTGCCAGCTTGGGAAGCGTGTTTGTTCTCCTGGGAGAAGAATGCCACGTCCAGCCTGTGGAGAGTGGCAGTGGGCACGTTGTGTCTTGGATTTATTCGTTCAGCAAATATTTACCGAGTGCTGTCCGTGTGTGGGGCACTGTTTGTTGTGTGCCTGTAAGGATGATCCATTGGAACGTGTGTGGGAGCTGGTGTCTTAGTGTTTTCAAGAGCGGCGAGGTCCAGACCCTCGGGCACCGCGTCCCTGACCCCCAGAGCCTTCATCCTGCCAGGCCCGGGCCGCAGACGCCATGTCTTCGGATTACGTTACCGTGGTGGCCTCAGGTGAAGAGTGTCTGTAGCGTTGGCTTCTGGGCAAGCGTGGCTGGTGTGTGCGTGTACATGCTTGTGTATATGTGTGTGTGTTCAAAGAGGACCGTGGGGGCATTAGCTGACAGGTTGGTTCATTTCTTTAATACATAACCATCTTTTCAGATCTTTCATTTCTGTTCTTTTGGGGTCTTTTCTTGGCAGGTGGATTGCCTGGAAAGCACTCTAGAAGAGTCACTCCAGGCGAAGTTTCCTTCCGACCTCAGGGTGTCCATTCTCTTAGACTTCACGCGGGGCTCAAGAGGTAGGTCTGATGCCCTCCCTGGCCCCCTGAATCTTCCTCGTTCAGGAAGAACGAGGAATTACACCCTCACCGCCCTGTCCTCAGCCAGCAGCAAGGCTATTTGAAGCCCGTCTGGGCTGGCCCAGGACGGCCTGTCCGTAGGATTCTGTCTGCAGCAAGTGACCGACAGTCCAAGTAAAAATGACTTTGGGAAAAAGAGAATTGTTTTGAATTCCATGTCTGACCTGGTTCGGGTGGGTCGTGATTTGGGGCTTGGACCTTTGGGCTGGCTTCATTCTCTGGCTCCTTGCGGCAGCCCCTGGCAGTCCCAGGCCCATCTTGCTGCATCGTGTCCATTGGAAGAGCATCTGCTTCCCTCGTGGTCAGCCTGGAGCTCCTGCACGGCCTGCCTCGGGCTCTGTGCCGGGGCTCCCGAGCGTGCTGACCGGCCCAGCCTGGGCCTGCGTGCCTTCCCAGAGCCGGGGTGGACAGAGTCATCTTCACCCAGAGCAGAAATGTGAGAGCGGGGCTGGGTGGTGCCCCCGGGAGGAGATTGGGCGCAGTTACCAGGAGCCGGGTAGATGGGTGCTGTGGGGCTGGAAGAGCAGATGTCTGCTACACGGGCCTCTCAGTCCTGCCCCGAGATGTGGTGGGTGTCCAGGTAGAAGCTGTCCCGGAGCCCCTCTGGCTGAAAACAGCCCCCGGCGGTTTGACTTGGACGGCTGCGCAGGCCCTTGGTAGGTGGCGCTGCACTGGTGGGCTGCGTGTTTTTCCTGGTGTGACTCTGCCGTCCTTGCTCTCCTGCTTGCCCACGTCTTCAGGAAGGAAAAACTCTCGCACAATGCTGCTCCCGCTCCTGCAGAGGTTTCCACAACAGGTCCGAGTGTCCCTCTTCCACACGCCTAACCTCCGTGGGCTCCTCCGGCTCCTCATCCCCGAGCGCTTCAATGAGACCATCGGCCTGCAGCACATCAAGGTGTACCTCTTCGACAACAGCGTCGTCCTGAGCGGGTGAGTTGGCTTCCTTCTGTCGGGGTCTCCAGGGCAGAGACCAGCAGCACGCGGAGAAGGGAAGGTCCGTCCCCGCAAGCCTTCGAGGGCCTGCTGCTACGTGTTTAGTCTGGTTGCCTGGCCCTCCCGGCGTCTTCCTGGTGTCCTGTCTGCCACGGAGGCTGGAAGCCACGAAGGGCGACTGAAAGCTGGCCGTGGTTTACTGAGCCCTTACTCTGTGTTTGCTCCTGGGTGAGCCCCTCGTGTACTGTCTTAGCTAATGCTCCAGTCACCCCATGTGGTCTTTCCCTCAGTTTGTACACAAGAAGCCCGAGAGGACAAATAACTTTGTCAGGCAGGGCCGGGTGGGAATCCAGGCCCTTTGGGGGACACTGGGGCCGAGCCCGAGTGGTCCTTGGCTCTGTAAGTGTCTGCATCTCCTCTCGGTGGTCAGCTCGGTGAGGGGACGGCCTTGCGGTCACTCCTCTGTGTCACCTTAGTGTCACTCTCGTCCACCTCTCGTGAGTGGCCAGGCTCAGTAGCTGTTTGTTTTATTTTATTTTATCTATTTATTTATTTATTTTTGGCTGTGTAGGGTCTTCGTTGCTGTGCGTGGGCTTTCTCTAGTTGCGGCGAGCAGGGGCTACTCTTTGTTGCGGTGCGCGGGCTTCTCGTTACAGTGGCTTCTCTCATTGCGGATCACGGGCTCTAGGTGCACAGGCTTCAGTAGTTGTGGCACGCGGGCTCACTAGTTGTGGCTCGCAGGCTCTAGAGCGCCGGCTCAGTAGTTGTGGTGCGCGGGCTTAGCTGCTCCGCGGCATGTGGGATCCTCCCGGGCCAGGGCTGGAACCCGTGTCCCCTGCATTGGCGGGCGGATTCCTAACCACTGCGCCCCCAGGGAAGCCCGTCAGTAGCTGTTTGTTAATTGGCTGCTCCTGGTGCACCTGATCCGAGTTGGTTGCTCCCTTGCTCCTGCTGGTGACCCTGAGACCGGGGTCACCAGCACTTGCAGTCGCACCCTATCGCCTGAGTCCTCACCTGCCGCTTTTCTCCCCGTAGCGCAAACCTGAGTGACTCCTACTTCACCAACCGGCAGGACCGCTACGTGTTCTTGCAGGACTGTCCTGAGATTGCGGACTTCTTCACGGAGCTGGTGGACGCGGTGGGGGACGTGTCCCTGCAGTTGCAGGGGGACGACACGGTGCAGGTGGTGGAGGGGATGGTGCATCCTTACAAAGGTAGGGTCCCGGGCTCCTCGCCCTCCTGAGCCTGTGGGTGGTGAGGGTGAGGAGGACGCGCCTCTGGGGGCCTTGCCACGGGTTTAGGAGACTTGGGTGGCAGAGCCTTGTTCTGCTTTTGTCTTTGGAGCCAGACAGACGTGACTCACTGGCTATCGGTCATGCTCTGCAGGTGAGGGAGCCGCCGGGGAAGGTGGGATTGTGGGCTTCGGGTCTGCGTGCCCACGGGAGTGAGCCGGGAGCCTGCCCTGCACTTACAGGAAGCGGCCTGCTAGATGGCCACCCCCCCTCAGGGCCACCTCCCGTGACTCTGGAGCACAGAGGGTCTGTGGCTCTCGGCTCCACTGAGGTCTGCGGCCTCCTGCCTGGAACGTGAAATGGGAGAGTCCTCAGTCCTGCTCACTGGAAACAGGCAAACCCTGGCAGCTAGCACTCCCGGGCTATTTGCATTCCTGTGATTCTTGTGGCCGTGGCTTCCTTGTGGCCTTTAAGGAGGCCTGCTGCTGAATTAGCAACCGTGTCAGCAATGTGGGGAACGGGTTAAACCTAGCCCATGTGAGGAGAAGAGCCAGAAAGGAAGCATATGAGTGGGATTGTCTGGTGGGAACCCTGTCCCGGGGGCCTGGGGATCTGTGCACTGTGGAGCCAGCCCGTGATCTGTGTGCCTGCCTTGCCTGCTGCCACTACGCCTGTGTGCTATATAGAGTAGTATGATAATTACTATTGTGTTTTAAATTTCAACAATAAAAATTATGGAAGTCTGTTTTTTCTTTCATTATATGAGTACCTATGTAGTATTCTCAATTTTACCCTCTGGCTCACAGAGCCTGAAATATTTACTGTCTGGCCCGTACAGGAAACACTGGCTGACCCCTGGTCTAACTTAACAGGCCTGGCGTGAATATGCAGAAAAAAGGGCACCCATTTGGGGAAGAATTGAGAGTCAGCACGTTCGGAGGGCGTGGGGGGCTGGGCACAGCCGTGTTCGGGACCAGGGCAGCTGAAGAGAAGCAGTGAGTGAGCGGCCCCCGTGGTGGCTGCCGATAAGGAGGGATCCCCGCAAGCAACATTCCTTCTCTGGGCTGCTGCCTGGCCCTGGAAGGCACTCGGGCGTGTGCGCCTGTTCCCAGCCCAGAGCGCGTGAGCGGTGGCCAGGACAGTTGTGCTGCCCGTCTCTCTCTTGTTCATCAGCCCTGCCCAAGCCTTGCTATTCTGTCAGTTTTTTCAGAGAATCAACTTTTGACAATGTTGAAGTTCCCTATTTTTATATTGTTGTTCTCTTTCTGTTAATTTCTGCTTTATATAATGTCCTTCCTTGTACTGTATTTTTTGGCTTTTCCTGTTGTTTTTCCTCCTAACTTCTTGAGTTGGATGCTTAGCTCATTAACTCTCTTATCATCTAGTGATAGAATTTAGACTCACTTCTTTTCCCTTCATTGTGTCCATGCAGCCACTCGTCACTGGCGTCTGTGTGAAAACAAGGCCCAGAGCCTGCCTGTTCACCTCTGACCCTTTGTGGCTCGCTCTCCTGCTCTCTGGTCATACTTAAACGTGTCTCTGTCGGACACATGTTCTTTCTGACGTGTAACATGCACACTAGTCACGGGTGTGCAGCTTATGTACGTGTTCATAGTGGGTTGGCTCCCAGAAGCCCCCTCGGGTCCCTAGCCAGGCATGACCCCCATTGTGCCCACTATCCTGACCACTGTCACCCTCAACTAGTCTTGCCTGTTTTTGAACTTTTCGTAAGTGGATTGGTAGAGGCGTTTTCATTTCCCCCTGAGTGCAGGCTTCTTGTGGCAAGATCCTTTTCCAGGCATTTCTGTCCACAGAGGAGCCTCACATGGGCCCGGTATCTTGTGCTCAATCGAGACGTGTTTGGTGAAGGATCAGTTGTGGCATCTGTGCTTGCCTGTCACGTGCCATGTGGTGTGTCTACTGTGCTGAATGGGAGTTCAGAGCCTCCCTTCTCTGCTCCTGACTCTCCTTTGCCATGTCTCCCTCTAGGTGATCGGGCTGCGTATTGCAAGGCAGCCAATAAGAGGGTTATGGATGTGATCAACTCAGCCAGGACCCGCCAGCAGATGCTGCATGCCCAGACCTTCCACAGCAACTCCCTCTTAACCCAGGAAGATGCAGCAGCCGCTGGAGACCAGAGGCCAGCCCCAGACACCTGGATTTACCCATTGATCCAGATGAAGCCCTTTGAGATTCAGATCGATGAGGTTGTCACCGAGACCCTGCTGACAGAGGCCGAGCGAGGCGCTAGGGTCTACCTCACCACCGGCTACTTCAACCTGACCCAGGCCTACATGGACCTGGTCTTGGGCACACGAGCCGAGTACCAGATCCTGCTGGCCTCGCCGGAGGTGAACGGCTTCTTTGGGGCCAAGGGGGTGGCAGGTGCCATCCCGGCCGCCTACGTGCACATTGAGCAGCAGTTCTACAGTGAGGTGTGCAGCCTGGGGCAGCAGGAGCGGGTCCAGCTGCAGGAGTACTGGCGGAGGGGCTGGACGTTTCATGCCAAAGGTACGTGGCAGCCGGCTGGCCACAGGATGGCCCCCATGTGGGACAGCTGGTGGGTGGACCAGTTGGCCCACTTGTTAGCGCCCGTGGTGCTGGTGCCTGCCTGGTAGAGCCCTGCCCCTTCCCCTGTCTGTCTTCATGACAGCCCTGTGGGCGCATCACAGTCATCGCATTTATGTGCATTTCAGTTATGCAAGATCTTTCCCAAAACTTATAAACTCAGATCATTTGGGGGGCTGTTTTAAAAAATGTACACGTAACCTCTCCCCTCAGATGAAAAGGCACGTGCTTTAGTCTTTCTGTGATCATCTTGAGTTCTCCCGCATTTGCCCTGCCCTTCTTGGGGACAGAGAGGATTCCTTAGGGATCATTTGTTTGGCATCAAACAGCCCACTTTTTCAGTCCCTTCCTCACCAGCCCTGTTTTTTCCCCTATGTGCCAAACCTTCGTTTTTTTTTTTTTTTTTTTTTAATAGCTGAAAAAACTGAGGCTATCTACTTAGAATGTTTACATGTACCGGACTGCCTCAGGGTGGGCCAGAGTGTGAATTGCATATTGTAATGGTCTCTTGCACAGTTACGTGCATCCGTGGAGCAGCCCACATGTGGCACAATCCCAGGGGATAGCCACGATGTGAACAAACGGGTTTAGAACCCTGTGCCTTCTCCATGCCGAGGGCATCTGCCTCTCGAGTGTGACTGCTCCTTTCTGTCCTCCGGGAGACCCCATGGCCAGCTCGGTTAGTCCTGTGTCTAAAGGAATAGCGGACAGTGTGGGGACCCCAAGCCCCGACTAAAGTGCCTGGCTATCCTGAATTCTTGCTGGTGGTTCAGAGACCCATTTTGCTCCTGCTCTGGTCCTGGGGGCTTCCGGAGAGCCTGAGCGAGGCGGGAGGGGGATGGTGTTGTCACAGCCACTCATCTGTGTTGTTTAGACTTGAGGGCACTTTGAGCCCTCAGGTTGGACTCTTGTTTCCTTAAACCATTGGTTTCCATCTGGAGGTATTGCTAGGGAATCCCCCCAGGCCACCCTAGGCCTCCTGGGTCCAGCCCTCTGGTATTGGGTGGTTTCCACTTGCTACTGTGAGGCCTGCGTGCCTGCTCGGGCAGGTGGCACTGTCTGGTGTGGGAAGTGAGCTCTGCCATTGTACCGATGTGTCATGGGCCAAGCCTGGCCGGTGGTTAGGTGTCTCCGGGCAGGCAGGCCAGCCCACGGGGGTGTGGAAGGTATTTTAGGATTGGCTCTGTTACTTCTGAGAATAACAGTGGTGCCTGGGGTGGGGTAGTGGAGACAGAGAGCTGGATAGTGGGAGGAGCTTTGAGCTCTGAGGGGACCTGTGTGCCTGGCGAGCTGCGCAGAGGCACGTCGAGAGTGCTCGCTCCTCATCTGCCCTGTGGCTGGGTCGGTGCGGGGGGTCCCTTGTCACTTTGGGGCCCCCAGCGTAGCCTGGCCCATCAGTTCTGAGTGTGCTGTGGGTTATTTCCGTGAAGCTGCGCTGATAAACGTGCAGTGACTCCCCAGTTACCGTTGAAACAGAAACACCCAACCGGCTTTTCCAGTGTGTCTCGCCTTTTCCTGGACTGGCGTGCTCCAGCCGCTCCCTCCAGCCGCTCCCTCCTGCCGCACGCCTGCCCTGTTGCGGGTGGAGCCCTGCCACCTGGCAGCTGGCTTAGTGGGGAAGGCCAGGAATCCCAGGGTGTGTGCAGTAGAGGGGGAGGGGGAGAGCACGACGTGCACGTGGAGAGGGGTTTCTGCGCAGAAGACACCTCACCCTAACAGCAGGAGCCAAAGGTCAGATCACTCAGCGCTGAAATGAGAGGCCAGGCCCTTCCCTGCCTAGTGGCTGTGCTCGATAGTGGGGGCTCTTAAGTCAGCCCCCCTTTCTGGCTCATCTCTTGATGGTCATTTCCTCCAAAGCAACCTAGGACAAGGAGCTGGCAGTGCAAGTGGTGCTGGATTTGGACTGTGGAGTGGTGGACCATCTACTGATTGCCTGCCCTGTGCAGGGGCCATGCTGGGTGCAAGCGGTGTGTCTGCGTTTGGGCCCCGGAAAATTCTTCCCCATGGCTGAATGGCCTATACTACAGTTCCCTTCCCCGGGCTCTTGCTCCCAGAAGCCCTTGGGCGACGAGGGAGAACGGGGACACCGTGTTCCTGCTTCCAGACCCTTGCCCTCCAAGAGCGCTGTCAGCGCCGCACGCCTCTGGGAGTCAGGCACCCCGAGGCTCTGGACCCTGACTCTGTTGAACCTGCTGGTGCCACGTGCAAGGCGATGCAGGAAAGCTCTGCTCGGTCCAGGCCTGTGGACGCTGGCAGGCGAGGTGGGGAGAAACAGCCTTCTCGTGGGCAACGGCCACACTGGTCCACGGGTGCTAGTGGAGAGCAGTGCAGTCTGGTGACAGGAGGCCCCGAGGGCTGCAGTGTACTCTGTTGTTTTCTGCTCACCGAGTGTCGCCAGGAACATGGAGCAGGGGTGCATGCTCGGCTGGAGCAGCCTTGGCTCTGCCCAGTGGCCTGAGCGGAGGCCGCCTCACTGGCTACTCTGTTGATTTCCTAGCAGACTTGAATATATATCCCATTTTAATAAGTTGAGCTGCTTCAAAGAACCAGAGGGACCTTCCACTCTATAAAGGCATGTACTAGAGACCCCTTTGGCAATGTGGTCCCATCTGGTTAGTTTTTATTTGGAGTTTTTATCTGGTTAGTTTTATTACCCTGGGTAAGCATGATGTGGTGGACAGGTTACCAGGATGGGAGTCTCGAAGCCTGGTTCTCAGCCCAAATTTGCCTTTGGCCCAAGTGGAGGGACCAGGTTCAACTTCTGTGTCAGCTGGGGCGATGGCTTTGGATTGTACTCAGGAGGAAATGGCGACGTGCATGTGTTCGAGTTTCTGTGAAGTGACCGTGCGGTTCATGGGCGAGGAGTGGAGTCCCAGGGGTGGTGGCGGGGACGCCATGCGTGGCGTCGGAGGGCTGGGACCCCTGGCGAGAAGAGGCATCCTCCTCACCTATAGTTTTGTTGCTGATCTCCCCGTGGCTCAGTGAAGGGCGACACTGAACCCGGAAGTCTTATTACCAGCATCTGCTTGGCCTCAGGAGGGCTTTGGGGGTGTGGGAGGGTAGGGGTCCACCTTCGACATCCGTCAGTTGGCAGCTCTTCTGATTGGTGGTTTGTCAGCTTCCTGTTGCCCGGCCTTCGTTCCTCACCTGGTGGGTGAGGTGGGACAGGGTTCTGGAAGCGGGGGAGCATTCCGACCTAATGGGGAGCGCCACCAGCTCAGCTGGAGTTTAAAGACTTAGTTTTTTTAGATCAGTGTTAGGTGCACAGCAAAACTGAGAGGAAGGTACAGAGAGTTTCCGTGTTCTCCCTGCCCCCCGACACATGCACAGCCCCCCCACTACATTTATTATAATTGATGAACCCACAGAGACGTGTGATTGTCACCCCAAGTCCACAGTTTACATCAGCGTTCATCTTGGTGGTACATGTTCTGTGGGTTTGGACAAATGTACAGAGTAGTTTCGCTACCCTAAAATCCCTCTGTGCTCTTTTTTTTTTTTTTTAATAAATTTATTTTACTTGTTCATTTTTGGCTGTGTTGTGTCTTTGTTGCTGCGCACGGGCTTTCTCTAGTTGTGGCAAGTGGGGGCTACTCTTCGTTGCTGCATGCGGGCTTCTCGTTGCGGTGGCTTCTCTCATTGCAGAGCATGGGCTCTAGGTGTGCGGGCTTCAGTAGTTGTGGCTCATGGGCTCAGTAGTTGTGGCACGCAGGCTCTAGAGCACAACCTCAGTAGTTGTGGTGCATGGGTGTAGTTGCTCTGCGGCATGTGGGATCTTCCCTGACCACACCCCGCTCTGTGTTCCTGTGCTCTGCCTATCTGCCCCCCACACCCCCGGCCTCCGCCCTGGGCAATCGTAGATTTTTTTAATTGTCCCCATAGTTTTGCCGTTTCCAGAATATTATATAGTTGGAATCATACAGCCTGAAGCCTTTTCAGACAGGCTGCTTTCACTTACCATGCATTGAAGTTTCCTCCACATCTATTCATGGCTTGATAGGTCATTTCTTTTTAGCGCTGAATGTATATCATTGTACGGATGGACCACGGTTTATCCTCTCGCCTACTGAACAACTTCTCAGTTGCTTCCAGGGGTTCCCCTTTTAAACTTGTTCCTGGTTGAGAGTAGGGTACAGGGGACCAGGAACAGGATGGCTTTGTCAGTGGTTGTGCGTGCTCTGTCTACCTTGTGCCAGTGAACTAACCTCTTTAGGTCTTGGAGAGGCAGCAACTTCAGGGGAGTCTGAGTGAGTATGAAGTGTGTCAAACCTAGTTCTCGCATCTTCTTAGCTTTCTGCTCCATGGAGAGGAGGGGGCTGAGAGGTGGTGTATGCACCATCATGGGATTTCTTGCTGTGAGAGCAAGGGCCACATCCATGCTGGGGGACGTGGGCTCTGCCTGCTTTTAAGATGTTGACTTTGATTTCGTGTGGATGCAATATTCCAGCATTAACAGCACGATGTGTGTGGCGAGGGTGGGGCAGGGCCACTGGATTAAGAGATTTCTGGCTCCTGCTGACAGAGGAATCTGTTAATGATTGTGAGAATTGTCACTATTTTTACTGCCTTCCCGATAGGCCACTTGGCATGGCGCCCAAAGGTGAACTTGTAGTGAGAACCAGGGCAGCTCCACCCTGTTTGTGGGGCACATGTGAGGCAGTTCTCACCTGGGGATGGGGGTGTGCCTGGGGCAGTGCCGCTCACCTTGGACCGAGCAGGCACCAGCCTCCGGGCCTCTTGGAGTGTTTTGGTTCTGTTCTGGCCTCAGAATAGGTGATGCTTATTCATTCATCTGAGGTTAGGACTGTGATGTCTTCTGTCCCCTCTTGTTTTTACAGAGATCTGAGAACCCTCTGAAATTTATTGCAGAATATTGTGCGGGGAGGAGAGGGAGGGGTGCTTGATTTTGAATTTTTCGTGGAGAGATCCTCAGAGAAGGTCTCTAACCCGAAATGTTCATGTGCTCCTGCTGTAGAACCTCAAGGCCTTTTTATATACTTAATCATTTGTTGGAAGAGGTGGGTTTTTTTGTTTTTTGTTTTTTTTTTGCGGTACGCGGGCCTCTCACTGCTGTGGCCTCTCCCGTTGTGCAGCACAGGCTCCGGACGCGCAGGCTCAGCGGCCACGGCTCACGGGCCCAGCCGCTCCGCGGCATGTGGGATCTTCCCAGACTGGGGCACGAACCCATGTCCCCTGAATCGGCAGGCAGACTCCCAACCACTGCGCCACCAGGGAAGCCCTGGAAGAGGTGTTTTTATCCGCATTTTATTTATTTTGTTCAAACAAGTATTTATTGAGGGCCTGCTGTGTGCCAGGCAGCATTCAGGGCATTGGGGATAAATCACTGGGGACTAGACTAACTCCCTGCCCTCGTAAGGTGTAGGTTACTGGGAAGCAGATAATAAGTGGATGAATCTATCCAAATACAATGTCAGGTCGTGGAAAGGGCTTTGAAGAAGACCAGAGCAGGAGGGGGCTCCAGGTTGATGGCGGTCTGTTAGATGGGGGTCAGGGAGGGTCTCTCTGAGGAGGTGACACTGAGCAGAGACCCCCGGGCAGGAGAGGTCCAGGCAGAGGGAACAGAAGCCTGGAGCCCCGAGACTACACTAGGCTTGAAGGACACCCCCTGGGCCAGGGTGGTCAGAGTGGAGGATGGGCACTGAGGTTGGAAGGGGCTTGGAGGCCAGGGTGAGCCAGGGCTGTGGGCAGCCTGGGGCTCTCTGGTTTACCCTTCAGCATGATGCTGGGACTGTGAAGGACCGTTGGCGCGAGCAGAGCGGAAGCAGGTGTCTCTCTCCCTGAAGAGGAGGCCAGGGCGTGGGGCAGGATGTCTCATTGCAGAGCTGGGAGGCAGTGGAAGTTGTTGGCCTCCAAGTCCAGTCATCTCTGTACCCACGGCATGCTCCCTTTGTGGTGAGACCTGCTGTCCCCGGTGCTGAAGTTCAGTGTTTCCCCCCTGCCACCCCCAAAGGCACTTTCTTCCCTCCTGTGCCGTCCTTGCTGCTGCAGAGTCTGTCCCTGATCCACCGGTTTCGGGAATGCTGGAGATGTTGGGCCCAAAGGTCGGGCCCTGGGATGAGGACTTGGGGCTTGATAACAGGTTTATGGCTGGGCTGGGAAGTGCCGTGTTTCCCGACAGTGAGTCCCTGCCTGGCAGTCTCACCCTTTGTGTGTATTCGCCCTGACATCCTGAGTGGCAGTGTGTGTCTGGCCGGAGGTTCTGACGACTCAGGAGCTCCAAAGGGCCTCTTGGGAGGGCCTCCCCTCCCCGAGTGAGAATTTCCCAGTTGTCTTCAGGGCACAGACCAATAGCTAAAAACTCCTGACTTGGTGATCTTCAATCTAGAAGGACTCTTGTTCGTAGCGGCCCCCCTGTCCCGGGCTCTCTGAGGCTGTGGGCATCATGTGGAGCTGCTGGTGGCACCGCGTGGCATCCCCCTCTGGCTTCCCACGCTGCACTAACCCCCGCCCCATCACGGCACACCAAAGGGTGGCCGTCTCGCCATGTAGGGTCTTTATTTTCTTTTCGATGGAGAAAGACTGCAAATGAGTCTACAGGGAAAGTTGGTTGGGTGATTGCAGGCCTCACCAAAGTGGTCAGTAGGTAAAAAAGCGCTGCCTCTTTAATCCAAGCACTCGCCTGAAGTCCACCCTGGGCCAGAGAGGAAAGAAGCTGAGGGAGGCAGAGGTGGCAGGGAAGAGAGAAAAGAGAAGAAATAGGTGTATGTCATACATAACCAACAGTGTTGATGCTGCCCCACGGAGCAGAGACTGGTTCTTGGGGAGGGTGCTGAAAAAGTCTTCAGCAGGGCTAAAAAGCTCCTTCAGGGATCAGGAATGAAAACAGGTTGAGAAGCAGTGGTCCATACTGGGGAGCTACGGGCCGGGCTGAGATGGGCTGCCTGCCTCTGATGGCTGACCCATAGGTTGCCTTGAGAGGGAGCGGTCTGCGGTTAGGCAGATTATTTTTTATTTTTTTATTTTTTTTTCTGTACGTGGGCCTCTCACTGTTGTGGCCTCTCCCGTTGCGGAGCACAGGCTCCGGACGCGCAGGCTCAGCGGCCATAGCTCACGGGCCCCGCCACTCCGTGGCATGTGGGATCTTCCCGGACTGGGGCACGAACCCCGTGTCCCCTGCATTGGCAGGCAGACTCTCAACCACTGCGCCACCAGGGAAGCCCTTAGGCAGATTTTACAAATAAGTACGTGTGAGACCAGGCCCTTCCCACCTTCCCTGCCAGACCCTGTGGTCTGGGAGCCTTGGAGGGACACGGGGTCATGGTGGCAAGTGATTTACACCAGCCTAATCCCACATCAGCCATGTGGGTGTTGGGCCTCCCTAGTCCTGGCTCTCACCTGTCCCCTCTCTGAGTAGGCTTGGGCAAGCCAGCTGGACAGGTAGCACCAAGCAGACCCAGTGTCTTTAAGGGGCCAATCTTGGCATCAGAAGAGGTGGAACAGGGAATTCCCCGGTAGTCCAATGGTTAGGACTCCGAGCTTCCACTGCAGGGGGCACGGGTTTGATCCCTGGTTGTGGAGCTAGGATCCTGCAAGCCATGTGGTGCAGCCAAAAAAATATATATGAAATAATAAAATACATTGAATAAAAGAAGAGTTGGAACAGTAACGACACGTGGATATCTCGCCCAGCCCTGGGCTTATGGAGGGCCGGGGCGGGGCGGCTGAGCCTAGTGCAGATGGAGGGCCTTTACTGCAGAGGAGGAGGCTCGGACCTCCCTGGAAATCTGGAGCAGAGTGCCAGGACCAGCCTGCCCACCTGTGTGGTCTGGCCGCGTGCTAAGATGAGCCACACGGTTGCTTACATGCAGCGGCCCAGCGGAGCAGGCTACAGTCGATCGAGCGATACACACGGGCAAGCCAGTGGCTTTGATGTGGCCCCTGCGTGTGTGTGTGTGTGTGTGTGTTGGGGGGTGGCAGGCGTATTACAGGAACAGGCAGCAGAGAGTCGTCATCTCTTACCCAAGACGTTCTTGGAAATGCTCCTGTTCTGAGTGAGAATTAGGAAATGGCCTTCTATTTTAGGAGCGTGGTGTGTGTTACATGTTGTTGATTTGCTTGTGTTGCTCCTGCGTGCCTGTGTGCCCTTTGAAAGGGTCACGTTGGCAGGGGAGAGACCCGTGGTGGTGGGAGGATGCGAGGTGGCCAGCCCTGTGTAGGGTGGCCTGCAGAGGAGCCTGGGACTGATGTGGCCACACTGGGTGTCCTGGCCTGGGCGCTCTTGGTGCAGCGTGGAGGGAAAGATAGAGGCCAGATGCAAGCCTGGGCTTGCTGTAGGAGGAAGGAAGTCTGGGCAGCAGATGTCCTTGAGAGGTTAGGTTTGGGGAATAGTCTTTTTAGGAGAAATAGTCCTGATGGGGCCTGGAACTCGGAGGGGATGGAATGGGGTGCAAAGCAGAGGACCTGCCTGCCGTGTTTCAGGTGACATGTAGGATTCTGAGAGAATCCACCACCTTCATTACAGAGATGTCGCCGTGGTGTTGTCAGAGATGGCGAGTTCCCAGGGCTGGGGGAGGGTGGCGGGCAAGGCAGGAGCCACTGCCACATGGCTGCTCACACCGAGCCCTGCTTTTTCCTCTGTGGTATTAACTGGCTCGTTTTCTAGCAAAAAAGGGGGAAGCAGTGTTCTCTGGGGGGGACTGAAACGGACAGGGCCTCCCAGGTTCCTCGTGCGCTGGCCTCTTGTGACCTCTCTTCTGTCTGGCCTAAAGCCCCGAGCCCCCAGCAGGCTCATTTCTGGCGCCCCGGTGGGCTTCGCAGTCAGCAGTCTGAGCGAGGGAGAGTCGAGTGGCCCTGGGGAGGCAGGGCCCAGCTCATCTTCAGGTAGATGCAGCAGGTGGATGCAGCCTGGAGTAACCTGAGCTCTGTTTTCAGGCTGGGGCTCTATTGGCTGTCCCCCGCCCCCAAACCCTCTTAAAGGGCCCGTGCTGGGCTGCTCCTCCCCTTGCAGGGACCCTTAATAGCTCGGTCAGACCCAGGCTCCACCTTAAGAGATTTGGGACAAAATCCCATAGGAGCCCAGACATTGAGAGCTCTGACTCAGGAGCCCACGGAGCGCTCCTCTGGGAGGAGGTGGGAGCTGGACCAGTCCCCTCGCTTCTCTGCCCTCTGCTCTTGCAAGGGTTTTGGTGGGGGCGTCCTCACACCAGTTCTAGGAGGAAGGACAGATGCCCTCCACCCCACAGGCTGCTTACGGCCTGATTTGCCAAGTAACCCTCTCTTAAACCCAGTCCTTCGTCATGCCGGTAACCACCCCGCGTCTGCTGGCTTGGGTGAAAGCATCTCTGTTCCCGAGCCCACGGGTCAGCTGGCTTCTTTCCTGAGAAGCAGGTGTGACCTGAGCTCTGCTGGGCTGCTTTCCCTCCGGGCCTGCGGAAGGACAGGGGAGGCTGGATGGTGGCCAGGACGCGGCTGAGGCAGTTCGGAGAACGGGGATTAGAGGTCCTGCGCTCTCTGGGAGGGGCTCTGGTAGCATCGCGGGGTGGGTGGGGGTGAGAACAGAGCCTGAGCACGGGCATCACCAGGGTCCTTTTAAGAACCCACTTCTCGCCTTGTCGGGAAAAGAGGCCACAGCGTGCCGTGCGGCAGAAAGGGGAGCTGTCCCAGTGAGTGTCCCTAGTGCCGGGCTGCCCTGCAGACGCTGCGGTCCCTGCGCCTCCTGGCAGCACCCTGGGCTGGGCAGACGTGGCCCCTGCTTAGCCCGTCCCCTCGGTGTCTTGTTCACGCAAACCCCGTGGGGGGCTGCTTTCCTCTTAGGTTGGAGCGCGACTGGAGAGGCTGTGGCAGCTGCTGTGCTCACTTCCTGTCTGCACGTTTCCTTTTCCCTGCAGGCCTCTGGCTGTACCTGGCAGGGAGCAGCCTGCCCTGTCTCACGTTGATTGGCTCTCCTAATTTTGGGTACAGGTCAGTTCACCGGGACCTGGAGGCCCAGATCGCCATTGTGACGGAGAGCCGGGCCCTGCAGCAGCAGCTTCACCAGGTTGGTTGGGATAGCAGGGACCTCCCCGGGGATTGGGGTGGGCATAGCTGGGTGCCAGGTCCCCGAGGGCTGCCTCTGCCGTCGTCTTCTGCCGGGGGCTGAGCAGAGTAGGAAAGAACCGGGGTCCTCTCACGTGTCCTGGTGGCCGGTCCTGAGGGACACCTGCCGCGGGGCTGTCCTGCGAAGCCCAGGCCCTTCTGCCTCCAGCCCAGGGCCCGCTTTTGCCCTGCAGGGGTACCCCCCTGACTCTTTACATCCTGGAGGACATTTTCCCTGCACGGGAAGAGAACACTGTTCTCACTGGCATGTGAATATAGCGCTGGTTCCCAACCTCTTCTGAGACGGTGGATCAACTATGAGAGGGGGTAAGGAGCCAGGGTTACACAGGACCTGGGTCCATTAGGGAAGAGCTTCAGGCGGCCTCGGTCATTTCTGATGAAGACCCTCCCCAGGAGGTGCTTCAGAGTCGGGGGAGGGAGAGGCAGGAGGCAGGGTTGCCACCCAGGCAGAAGGGGCGCGCAGGGAGCCAGAGTCTCTGCATGTGGAGACAGAGAACCCGGAAAAAAGAGCCAAACCATAGAATGAACTTAGATGCCCGTGCAGACAGAGATGGTTCGTGGGGAGCCAAGCCGTTGCGAGCGCTCTGACGATCCCGTTCGCAGATTTCTGTCTGTGCCCTTGAGTCAGCATGCATGATCCTACTGTGCTGAGAACTTGAATCCTATTTATTTTAGTTCAGATTGTTTGACTTGGTAATGATCTGGTTGGGGATTGACCTACAGAGGAGATGGTGGAGGGACTGCTCAGAGGTGTGCCTGGCCAGGCGCAGGGGCCCCTTGTAGCATGTTTGTGGGGGCCGGTGGTGGGCGGGACGCAGTGGAAGGTCGTGGCTGCCTCGCCTCCTGCCCGTGTCAGGGGATGGCGGTTGGGCAAGGCAAGGCCCCTGTTTCCAAGGTGTCTTGGAATTTCTGTGTTGTTTTTGTCACACTCCTAGTTGTAATAGGATTTCTTTCCTTACAGTTGTGAGAGGGGAAGGCAGGCATTCTTCTTGAGAGCGGGGACCTAGAGCCTGAGAGAGAACCGAACTTGCTTTGTCTGGCTCGGTGGGCGTGTTATGTGGCCCACTGAGGACCTCCTGCTCCCCTGGGAAGAGGCTTCCCGGCATGGCTCACGGGAGAGCGGCCCTTTCTTCTGAGGTGGGGCTGGAGAGTCACGGGGGACGGCACCCTGAGCCCCTGCTGCCATCTGCTGGAGACCCACGGTCAGGTCGGGGAGTGGGGGCAGGGGAGAGTGCCCTTTGCTCCCTGGGATAGGAACGTGGCAGTGACTCCCAAAGGGGCAGCGGTCTCGGCCTCCTTTCGTGATGGTCTTTCTGTTTAAAGTCAAGAATAACTGAAAGTTAGTGCTTCTGTGTGAATCTTCGCATTTGAGCACCTGCAGCAGTGCTGATGAACTTTCGAGAATGCAAGCACAGCACCTGTGTATGTGAAACCTAGAGGATCCTTTGGGCTCACAAATTTGTGACCTTGACAACAAAGCCTTTCCAGGGAAGGTGCCAGCTTCCCTCCTGAGTCATGGGAATGTAGATAACACTGCTGTAGGCCAGCCCTCAGAAGCGTGTAGACTGAGTTAAGCTTTTATTCTTGTGTTTGGGAACTACTGTTGCGAAATTGTTGGAGCCTTTGTTGATGGACGAGGAAATGGTAACTGCCTTGTTCCCTGGGATCTGCCTCCTGCGATCTGGGAATCTTGTCAGTGACTGAGTGGGGCCTTGGTGCCGGGAAGGGCTTCATGACCAGGGCTGAGAGGAAGTGGCAGCGGTCGGGCTCTGGGTGGCCAGCAGGAGAATCTGATCTGCTCAGCAGATCACAGATGCTATGGTGAGGCTTCCAGCAAATGACCGAGGAGGTTCCAGTAGGGGCCAGCCGGCCTCAGAGCGGGCTGGGTTGAGAGGAACAGTGGGGTCTCCAGTACTTTTGCCTCGGTTGCTGAGAGCTGTGTTTCCTCAGGTGGTAGCGAGTGGTCAGTGTGAACGTGGCCTCTGGCGAGGACCAGATCTCTGTGGGTCTGGGCTGATTTGGGGGAGCAAGTCTCTGCCCAGGGTCCCGGTGCTGGCCGCTGTCCCCCACTTCCTGAGTAAGGGGACTGAACCCACATCCTGGATCTTGAGAAAAGCTAGGCCGGTTGTGGTCAGGAGCTGCTTTCCCAAATGACATATTTGGGATATTTTGTTTTTCTTCCCAAACCTGAATCCCAGCGGCTTTTGATGGTGGGAGGGTGGCAGTTCGTGCCACTGCAGTCCTTCCGTTCTTTAGAGGCACGTTGATTTCTGTGCCTTTGAAATGCAAAAATGTATTTCTGGATAACTCCACCTATGTATTTATATACTGGGACTGCAGCCACCCTCTGGAGAGGCCCATATGATGCCCGATGCTGGGACTGCCCAGCCACACAACCTTCCCCGAGCCCAGAAAGTCCCTGAAACCCCGGCTGCCCGGGTCCCCGCTCTCAGAAGCTGCCTCTGGAGTCCTCCTGGGGACCCAGGGAAGGGCCCTGTTCATGTCACACTGGGCACCGGAGTGGGGAGATATTTTTATCCGAATCCGAAGTCCCTCCCTTCACTTAGTACGTACAATAAAAACTGAAAGCTTCCTGGTTTTGTTCGGAGGACACGGTTTACCACTTGTGACCTAAGAAAGACTCCCTTGAACAGCATTGTAACCTCGACCAGCTGACTTCCTTCTCCATCCCCGTGTGGAGTCTGTGAGGAGACTTAAGTGTTTCTGGTAATTTAATTGAAATCTTGGCTGTGTATTCATTGGAAAACATAAAGCTGGAGCCGGGTCTGTGGAGACTTCTGCAAAGCAGCGTCCCGAGACCGAGGCTGGCTCCTCCATGAGGCCCATCCAGCCGTGGTCAGCGGGCAGCCGGCAAAGTCTGCTCGGACCTGAAGCGCCAGGGACCCCGGCCCTGGGAGCACCCACTCACAAGGGAGTGAGTGCAAAAAATGTGCAGGAAGATGTGAAGTCGAGCACTAGATCGCCCCAGCCCGTGCCGGGGAGAGCTGTGGGCAAATTCTGTAGTGTCCTGGAGGGCGCGGTGTCCTTCATCCCCTGTCCTCACTGGGTCAGAGGAGTTTGCCAGGGACGTGGCTTCCGTTCCTGCCCCCGGAGAAGAGAGCGTCCAGCTCCCAGTGGGATGGTGCGGCAGCATCCACTGTCCCCTTGGGGATCCACTGTCCCCTTGGGGACAGGGTGTTTGCAAAGCCAGCGTTGGGGGATCCTCACCATAGCGTGGGTTAAGTCAGTATTTTATAGATTAAAGGGACAGAAAGTTCAGAGAGGGATGTCACCACTCCTGGTCATGGAAACAGAATCACCTCCCCTGACTGCTGCCTTTTGCCCTTTGAAACCTTCGATACCTTATTAAGGAAGCACAGCACTTGTAGCGTGTAATGTTTTAAAAAGAGGCAGTTTTTCCTCTCAAAGATTCTAAACACAATTTAAGACGAGGCTTCTCTCAGTGTTTTTTAACTTGTTTTTAAATATGTAAGTAACAATCGTTCATTGTAAGAATCGAGAAAAGTTACAAGACGCTATAACCCTTTCATCCAGAGTCACTGAAATCGTTTTGCTTGCTCCTTGTCTGTCTTGTTCTGTGTGCATATGGAGACGTGTAACTTGTTTTTTTCTTCTTACCGAAAGTAGGATTATATTGTGTATGTTAACTCATATCCAGTGTCTTTCACTTAATATATTTGTGCACATTCCCGTATCGTTAAGTAAATGTTTTCCTAGAGTATGATTATCTTATGGTGAATGCTGATTTGTCATATGGGTTTATTATATTTAATTAGCTGGTTGGTGGACATTTAGGGGGTTTCCAGGTTTTCTCTGTCATAAATGTTGGTGTGGAAAATATCAGTACACAAGAATCTTAGTGCACAGTTATTTTCTCGGGATAAACTCTTGCAAGTGGAGCTTTTTAAGGCTTTTGGTACTTGTTGCCAAATTGCTCTACAGACAGATGATCCGAGCCCCCTTTCCATTCATTCCATCAGCACGTCCGGGAGTGCCTGTTCCCTTGGCCTTCGTCAGCAGAGGGCGATGATGTTGCAAAACAACTTTTTGCCAGTTTGAGAGAAGAAAAAACTGTCTCATTGAAAGAAAATCTCATTATTTTAATTGGCACTACCTCATGCAGTGAGGGCGAGCTTTTAAATATTTTTTGCACCAGCTGTATTTCTTCAACTCTAAATCGCCTGTCCTACACACGTCTTGCTTGGTCTTAAAAATTGAAGCACACGGGCTTCTTGGCTTTTCTAAGGAGTGTGTGCAGGGGCGACCTGCGCTGGGGCTCCCACGGAGCCCCTGGGCCGGCGGGCCGCGTCACCGGTGCTGGAGCCGACCCCTAACGCCTGTCCGCCCCTCTTCCCCAGGAGCAGGCGCAGCTCTACCTGAGGTCTGGTGCCGTGTCCTCTGCCACCTTTGAGCAGCCGAGCCGGCAGGTGAAGCTGTGGGTGAAGATGGTGACTCCGCTGATTAAGAACTTCTTCTGAGGACAGCAGGTACTGACTGCCAGGCCGGCCTGGTGCGGCCTCCCAGGGGGTCACTAGGGGGGCAGGGGGCCCCCCCAGCGGGGGTCCCCGGGGCCTCTCGCAGGGACTCCAGGGCCCTTTCGTCCTTTCTTGGTTACATGTCCAGGGGTGTATGTCTGGGCTCGTGGGTGGTTGTGGAGGTTTTGGAAGCCTGGTGCTAAGTGAGGCAGCCCTCTTACCTTCCGCCATGTCCTGGGGCTGCGGTGCGGTCAGCATTGTGGGGCCCACTAATGCTCTCCCGTCCCCGGGGGCCGGAGGCGGCCCTGGGGTGAGGGCCTGGTGGCCACTGGGTACAGAGGTAGATTCTGCGCCCCCTCCTCGCCGCTGAGCATGCCGTTCTGAAGGCAGTGGGAGCGGAGGGGCAGCGCTCTTGGTCGGGAGCGTCCTGGCTTGCTGCCCTGGGCCGCTGCAGCTGCCAGCGTAAGAGGCCCCGGGGCTGCTGCCTCATCTCCCTGACGTTCCTGTGACGTGTGCTTCTGGCTGTGTCCCACGGGAGGACGAGACGAGGCCTCACCTGAGCTGCCCCTTGGCTGTTTGGATGCCGGGAGGCCGGCCAGGGTGCAGCTGCCGTCGGAGGTGGGGTCTCTCCTGAGTCACCCTGTGTGTTTCAGATCCCTTTAGACCTCCCTGACCTCCCCCCGTGTGGCCCCAGATGGGATCAGTCTCCTGGGTGGGATGTTCTGGGCCAGACCTTGCTGGTCCAGCCCACGCTAGGGGGTTGGGGGGGGGATGGGAATGGTTGGGCCTTTGGTCTGTGGGGAAGGGAGAGAGGAGGCGGGAGGACAAGGATAAAGGGTTGAGCGGCCGAGCGTCGTCCGCGTTGGCACTGTGTGCGGCCCGCGTCCCCTGCGGCCTGGTACCATGGTTCTCTTTTCAGGCTCACTTTAAAAAATTTTGTTTCATTTTTTTTCCCATCATTTTAATTACTTTAAATTTCATTCAAATAACATGCGAATTTAGAGAGTAAAATAATACCGAAAGGCCAACAAGATGCAGCTGCCCTTCCTTCCCCCTAGCAGCCACTTTTGACTCTTTTACCTGTGTTTCTTCTGATATCTACCCATGTGCTCCTGCGCCGCCCCCAGCGTCTCCAGGAGCAGATTTCAGAACCTCCCTGCCCAGTCCCCAGACCTTCAGGTGCTTGAACCTTGCCCAGAGAGAAGGCCTCGCAGCCCCAGGGCATGGCAGCTCATCCTTGGGGCTGGGGGCAGCAGACGGGATTCCATCCCTGCCCACCTGCTCTGGAGGCAGCTTCACGTGTCTCCCTCCCGCCATCGGAGCTGGCCGCTCCGATGGTTGCATTTGTCCGTGGGTCCTGGGAGGCCGTGGCTGGCCTAGCCCGTGCTCACCTTGCTGGGAGCACCTCGTCAGCCCCTCCCCTGGGCCTGGGCAGATCTGCAGGCTTTTGTGGTGGGGAGTTGGGTGGAGCAGTGGCCACACCACGCTGCCTGGGGTCAGTGGCACATCAGTTAACACTGTTTGCCTCCAAACCAGTTATTAAATTGTCCTGTGGGACAGTGAGAGGAGGGAAGCCAAAAGAATGTGCCTGTGCCGGGGCACTGGGTTTCTGTTTGGAGAGAGGCTTTCGGTAAACAGCGGCTGCCCCCTTTGCGAGCTGCTCGCTTTGTCTCTGCCGGTTGCCTTTGGGACGGTCCTGGGCGGGGCCCTCCCTCCCCC